TTTAAGGTCAGGCTTGACAAAGCCCTGGCTGGGATGATTTAGTTGGGAATTGGTCCTGCTTTGAGCAGGGGGTTGGACTAGATGACCTCCTGAGGTCCCTTCCAACCCTGATATTCTAAGATTCTATGTCAGTAGTTTCAGAAGGTATTTCAAAGTTGACCAGCATGTATAATATCCCAACCGTTACACAGAATTTTACAAAAAATTGGGATGGGGGGGCCCCTATATATAAAATAAATATCTGGCAAACCAGAGCAAAAGTGTCTCACACACAGCAAGACAAATATAAATCAGAAAAAACAAGACTTTTGTATTATCTTATGGTTGAGCTATTGATTTACATCATCGTAAGCCTTGGTGACATTTCAGTGTGAGCAACTGCAGGATTGGATTTTCGGAGAGAAGCTTTGAATACAGCCTTCTACAGAACGACAGGGCCACACTGACAGCGTGAGGTTAGTGGGGGAGAATCCATTTCAATCTCTCTCTTCCCGTGATTGCTATAAGTGGGTTTTTTTTTCCGTGCATATAAAGTATTATACTAAGGGCCTGCTTTTCAGGACTTCACTTTTAACTCTTAGGATTCAGTGCCGCCCTGAATGAACAGAGACTCACTTTTCCACACACCTTGTTCCTAGCAATAAGGCACCTAAAGAAAAGAAATGCCCCCAAGAAAGCGCGCAGCATGGGAAGAACAGGTTTACCAAGAGACTGCTTTACAAAGTTAAGGAGGCTGCAGCTGTTTTGCAAATGTGGGCATAAATGTAAGTCGCACAGACATCAGGTGCGAACGCTCCAGGCACTGTTCTCTCTTTATACTCACGTATTCTTGGATTGTGTTGGGATGCTCAATGCCCAGGACCCTCTCGCTCATTAGCACCGCTTTCTGTTGATTACTTAAGGCCTATGAAAGAATGACAAACAGGAGGATGTAGCAAATTCTGAGGCTTACATCTCAAGAGATACTTGGGTGGGAACAGGAGAGGGGAAGGTGTCTTGGTTTCCAGCCTCTCTCTCAAGAAACGAAGGATGCTCAGCAACAGTTTCCATTCACTTTTGGACTTCAGCAAGAGAAATGCCTTCCAGCAACTCACTGAGAAGTCTGGGTGAGTTGTGCCAGGGCACAGCTAGGTTTGCCTCTTGGTAACTCTTCTGCCTTGGCAAGGGGGAGACCCAGATTTCATTTCCATTGGGAGTCAAAGGATATCCTATTCTCTGTTCCTGGGGTGCACTCTGATAGCCCAAACCTGAAGGGCTGTTAATCCCAACACTCCTCAGCCCAAATGAGCCAGCAAGCAGGTCATTGCTGGGGAGGAGGACACATGTTCTGGGTACTAGATAAGAGAGCCTTCAATAGGAGACAAGGAGAAACCAATGACCGCCAATGAGGACTACGGGTAAGGTAACAGAATCCAAGTGGGCTTCTCATTAGGATGCCCACCTGTACAGTGGTGAAAGCTACACAGAGTGCTGGCCACATGGCCCTTTGGCTAGCTAGCTAAGATAGCCATAAAGGGAGAAAGGGGAAACCCACTGACGCAAATGATTTTGTTTCCTTAAATAAAATTTAATGCTTCGGTAACTGCTTTTCCAAGAGAGGCTAATGAACCCGTAAATCACTCTTATGCAGTAGGGAAACAGGTGTTCTACCCATTCCAGAGACAGGAATAAGTGGCCAGAGACAAGACTGGAATGAGAACCCAGGAGACCTGGCCCCAGGCCTGTTCTCACATCCACTTCTCAGCTCAACTATCCTGCTCATTCTGCAGTTATCACGGAGTCGTTAATCTGAAGGCACAAAGGGCAGACGGGAGGGGGAGAAAACAGTTACCGCTGACCAACCAGGACATTTCTTAGGGAAGCGGCAGAGGGGTTGAGTGTACCTCTGAGTAGTCTCCCATGATATAGTTGAGGCGAGCCAGCAGCCGAAGGCAGGCACAGATTTCCACGTGCATAGCACCGTACACATTGTTAAACAAGTTTAAGGCTTCATTGATGAGCTCACAGCCCTCCTTCAAGAAACCTACAAAAACCCATAGGAAATGTTAGAATATAAGAATGGCCAAACTGGGTCAGACCAAAGGTCCATCCAGCCCAGTATCCTGTCTACCGACAGTGACCAATGCCAGGTGCCCCAGAGGGAGTGAACCTAACAGGTAATGATCAAGTGATCTCTCTCCTGCCATCCATCACCACCCTCTGACAAACAGAGGCTACGGACACCATTCCTTACCCATTCTGGCTAATAGCCATTAATGGACTTAACCTCCATGAATTTATCCAGTTCTCTTTTAAACCCTGTTATAGGCCTAGCCTTCACAACCTCCTCAGGCAAGGAGTTCCACAGGTTGACTGTGCGCCGTGTGAAGAAGAACTTCCTTTTATTTGTTTTAAACCTGCTGCCCATTACTTTCATTTGGTGGCCCCTAGTTCTTATATTGTGGGAACAAGTAAATAACTTTTCCTTATTCACTTTCTCCACACCACTATAACATAATATAAAATCATGATTCTTATTAAGTGTTAACCTGGGACCTCAATTTCCTTTCCCTGTAACTATAGAGCAGAGAGAAGGCTGGGGAACTTCCTTTGCTGAATCTCTGGGCTACTGTATTACCCATAAGCAATGAGAAATCATAACTCCTAATGCCACAGGAAGAACAAGCATCGTCCATAAAGAGGGAGGTCTAGACGGCTCAGGGAAGTAGTAATGGGACACACAGTTCTCTACCACTAGGACACCAGCTCATGTTACGATTCTGCCTTTTCCTTGTTTTTGGTGAAGTCTAAAATTTCTCTCTCTCAGAGAGAAGTTAATTCACCCATCTAATCCCGATCTGGGTCCTGTGAACCTATGCTGGATTTCAGAGATCCGTCAGCGGTTTAATAGTTTGTGTGCGGTGAGGTGGAGATCGCAGTCCCCTTCCTAGAGGTCATGAAACCCTTGTTGGTAGTTTCCACTGCGGGACTGCTTTATGACTGGGTGTGGAGACTGTATTTTCCTCTCATCTCTAGAGGGTGTCCCCCTAGAACAGAGTTAAGGGGCAATGATTGACACAGGGCAGCCTACCATGCTGTGCAGTGCCTGCACTGTGGCTAGACAAGGTCAGGGCACAAAGCAGCGTTCATAAGAGGCGGCACATACCTTGCTGGACCTTTGCTTGCCCACTCTGGAAGAAGTGGAAAGCATCCGAAGCTTTGGGGTTTACGTGCTTCACGACCGGGAAGATGTTGAGAATATCCTCCTCTGTGAAGGTGGGTTTGTGCCGGTTATCAAAGTTATACTCTTTCAACAGGATCTGAAGGAACCAAAAAAACAAAGCCAACATCTTTCAGCTACTTTCCTCCCTCTCAAAGCCCTTCATGGACATCTGGGGCAAATGTAACCCTCAGTGGCGCTTGAGTGACCCCACTGAAGTCCAAAAGGGGCTACCTGGATGTAATTGAGGACAGAATCAGGCCTCCCAGGACGCTGTGCTACCAGTTGCGCAGCAGGCAAATGTCCCCATTTCCCAGACGGGCAACACTGAGGCCCAGAGATGTGAAGGAGTTTGCCCACGGTCACACAGCACGTTGGTGGCAGAGCTAGGAATAGAATCCAGCCGCTCTCAGCCCTAACAACAAAATCACACTCCTTTCCATACTGCAGAATCTAGAGGGGAGTCAAATTCCTCCAGTTCCAAACAAGACAGGCCAGCAGCTTTAGTTGCCAGGTCACAGACAAACAGACAGACGGGAGAATCAGGGGAAGCGTTAATGCACACACTGCTAGCTGCCCTTTGGATTTTGTTTTTACATTGGTTTATGTATGAAGATGTGGGGACAGTGTCTTGAAAGAGGGCCATGGTGGAGGTCTGTCATGGAAGGCCGACTCATTGTATGCCTATATTAAACCCCTGCAGCAAACCGATCCCTGTTTCATTGTAGGAGCATGCTGAGCTCTGGGTTGTGCCAGCACTTGCATTATGAACCCTGATGCGCAGAGATTTATAGCCTACGATAAGGTGCCATCTGAGCTGAATCTTGGCACAAAAATCTACAAACGGGAGCCATTTGTTTTCAGTAAAGAAGACAGCATCGTCCTGCTTTGTAAGGCAGAAGTTGAGCCTATTCCCCCTAACAGCAGTGGTTTCACTTTGTATTGTGCAGGGCCATTTGGCCAGCACCAGAGACAGGACTAGACAAAGGACTTAGACTGGAGCAGACCAATCGTGTTATATAAAGCATGTTTACCCTTAATGCAACTACACAAAATCCCTTTGCGGGGCTAGAACTGGCATTTCAGCACTAAATCTGTGGGAGGAATGAAGGGCCAGGGGTGGGAATCATCTTTTGAAAGACCTTGTGGTCTGAATCAACATATGCCCCCTCTTAGTGAATTTCCCCATTGGAGAAAGTGATGAAGGAAAGCCGGAGGACTTGGCTCTCACCTGGATTCCAGTTTTGAGGGAGATCTCACGTAGGAGGGTGATTTTCTGGAGGTTACACACCTCCGCTGCTTGGTCAACATTCTCACTGCAAAAAAGCGAGGCGAGAGCTTGGGGTAAGTTTATACTCAAGAGTATCCACCTAGGGCGTGCCTGAAGCCCTCCTCCCGGTATAGTTAGGCGCTAATCAACAAAGAAAGTGCAACTAAACTACGTCAGCAAGCAAGGAGCTTTCCTGCCCCAGAATGCTGGGTGTACACCAATGCTCGTTTACTTCAGTCCTACATGCATCTTTTCCCTTCCCCCACCTTACGCGTTAGCGATAGGGCTGCTTGATTCAACCTTTTCCTTATTTGTACTAAAATCTTAAGTTTCTCTGATGCCAGAGAGATAACCATGAATTCAACCATCTAATTATGACTTAAATCTTGGGTGCGGAGGGTTTTGTTTTGGAAAAAAAAAAAGCTTTTATTCATTCGTAATAGCCGTTAAGTGTTTTACTCCTCTTACATCACCGGCAACCTCTTCACTTCAGAGTCTGGCTGAGATCTGTCCTTGTTTTAGGAACATCCACAGATTTCACGTCCGCCTGACTCATGGCCATGAAATCTCTACTCCCCTCTCTGCCTCTGCTCGTCTCGGGCTGGATTCTTGTCCCCACTTCTATCCTTCACACTATCGCCTCTGCAGCCTGTGCCGTCTGAATCAACCTTCTGAGATATCTCTGCCGCATGAATTTGATCTCATTTAAAATTTCACCTGTAATCCTAATTCAACCCTCCCCTGCCCCACCACCACATCTGCCTCGGTTTCTCTCCATCTGCTACTTAACCCTTTTTAAAGTCGGATTCCAATGCTTAAGGGATTTTATAAACAATACCGGCACCCTTCGCAATAAAGCTACTGATGAGAAAGAGAAATCGGGCAAAAGGAAGGGAAAGTGACGATAAATCATTCTATTTACCATTCAAGATGAAAATCAAAGTAGTTCTTTGCCTCAGAACAGATATTCTTCCAAAGCTCCTGAGGGGTCATGCTGGCCCAGGCAGTGTTATCAGCATTTCCAAGGTTCCTGTTTTTCCTTTTCTTATTCTTCTTCTTAGAGACCAGCTCATCAGCAGGGAGATGGGCAACTGGATTCAGGAAGGAGCTTAGGAAGCAATTGAGGAAGTGACTGATGGCTGCCGATAAGCCAGACAACTCCACGCCCTGTAGCAAAATACTGTAAGTCAGTTGCGGAACCTTTTCTGCATTACACATGCATCAATCTGACCCAACTCGAATGGAAATCCAGTCCCATCTGTACAGCAAATATCATCGTGGTGCCCGACAGAGACAGAGGGAAGGTCTGCCAGGACAGCGTGTCTCAAAGCAACAGAACAAACATGCGTGAAGTGCCACATAAAAAGTCATGCGCAGTTTCTATAAAACTCCAAAAGGGGCGGGGCTGGGGGGAATGAACAATTACTGGGGATCTGGAGATTATAATATGGAATTCTTGTAACAGATTTCGTTGCTTCTGGAACAACGCATTGCTCCATGTCCTAGAGTTCATGTAATAAACAAGCATCTTTGGAGGTCAAAAGCACTACTGTTTGCTTAAGCAGAGTAAGTGTTTTACAGGCAAGACAAGCTGTGATTTCACTCTTAAAAGCCTTCAGTGTAATCAGTGAAATTCTGGGGAAGAAAAGCATGAATGATAATCCTCTGGGAGTGCTTCCTTCAAGTGGGAACTTGTTTTCTCTTGGATTCAGGTCTCTACCTATATTAGGCCTAATGAGATTTTACTTCCAGTTGCTAGGCAACATCCATGAACTAGCTAATGAGAAAACAGATTTAAACAGCTTCTATTTCTGAAAAACCATTAACGAGAACCTCACATGGCAAGAGTTTAGACAGCCGCTCGTACCTGAAGGTATGTCTTGAAGATGTGTTTGGCTGATCGAGTGATCAATTCGCTGATTCCAATTTTCTACCCAAAAAGAATAAAGAGCAGGGACTAAGAAAATTAGTCAATAGAGGGAAAACACAAACACACCACACACACACTTTGCTTTTAGATGTATTTTGATCCATATTGACAAAGGGCCCAATTCTGCAATCGTTACTACTGTGGAGTTGTACCCTACTCTGCAAATTACAGTGTAAATTCTTGGAGGCAGGGAACGCTTTGTTCAGGAAGGGAGGGTAGCATGCAGGGCAGGCCCCAATCCCTGGTGGGGGCTTCTAGGAACTATTCCATTCCAATGGGACATTCCTGGAGCAATGTACTCACTACTCAATGTGAGCCAGGGTGGCAGAATCAGGCCCCAGCGTAACCTCCTGACCAATCACAAGTAACATCCTTTCCACTCAATCCAGGGCCCCTGTGGGTCACTGCATAGCCCAAAAAACGCAGGCTGTCTCGGACCGATCGGCAATGCCTTTTACCCCAAAGTGCTTTACGGACCCTCAAGGCACCTATCCTCCCTAACCAGAATTAAAACAGAAATATGGGATTAAAACCTTCAACCCCTGCAATCAAAGGCTTTTTTGCCTGGTTTCAAAGCCTGGTTGTTTATTTTTACATGGAGAACGCAATTAGCCGAGTTGGAATGTGGCCAGGCCCCCACTATCCCAGCGGCAGCCAAAGTGACAATCGGAAACGGAACCCGCCGCTTACGTAGACGTGATCCAGCTGTGGGCGGGCGGGGGTCTTGGCGATGAAGTCGACGACTTTGCCTAGGTAGCGCATGTTGATGCCCCTCTGGTGCATGGCCTCTGCTAACGTAGCGCCGTCCATCGGGAGCACGGTGTGGTCAAGGCAGTCTTTCACCTGCAGAGCACGTGGAGCTTAGGGAAAAGGAGCCACCGGCCAGAAATGGGGCACTTTGAGCCAGGTGTTCAAACGTGCCCAGCACCCGCTAGCTCTCGTGGTCCTCAGTGGGCGCTGCGCCCCTCTGAAAAGCTGGTCCTTTCTCAGACTGGGCTCTATGTTTCAGATCTTTTTGGGGCGGGGGGTGTAGCGCATAGGGCCCCGATTCTTGACTGGGGCTCCTAGGAACGTTTGCCCCAAACAGGATTCTCAGGAGCTCCACACATCTGATAAGCATCCTCCCTTCCTCTGCCTGAAATCCAGGCACAGACCACGCTTGCCCCTGGCTGGAGAAGCACAGCTGTATCAGGGAATGCTGTGCAAATCCACCTGGTCTGGAGCCGTTTACCCAACCTCCTGCAAGTGTGAACCTACCAACTAAGGAACAGGGAGAAACAAGAGAGAGTTCTTTCCTTCAGTAGCCAGGAGGGGAGACCACCACATTTCCCACGCGCTCTACAAATCACAAGGGACTGGACAAAAAACAAATGGAGGTAGGGTTGGGCTGGGGAGAGGGGCTGGGGGGGGAAAGATACCGGTTTCTAGTGCTGGCAAATGGAAGTCGTGAAGTACAATGAACAATGCAAATGTAAATGCATCCCCTTGAGTTCTAAATACATTTATGCAAGTTACCTTCACATATTGAGAATGGGTGGGAGGTGGGTACACAGCAGCTCTATACATGTCTGTCACCTAGTTTGCCTGCCCCCGCGCGCATGCGCATGCGCACACACACACACACACACACACAGTTGTGTAGTATTTCTGATCCCTAGTTATGCTGCTCATTGTAGACTAAGTATTCAACAAAGAAAAAAAAAATTGAGCTTGTGCCCTTTTTTATTATTGTACTCTGGTATAAGGGGGAAGGGTTGATTTTGGTCAGGGTTTTTTAAGATTAGAGTTTTGGGTGTTGAGAGTTATGACGAATACTGAATCAGTGAAATGGTGACAGCGGAAGCGTGTGAAAGCCGAGCAACTGATACAGGAAGATTTTCATTCATTGTTTATTTCTCTCTTAGTCAACTCCAGTGACTAAAGAGCACTTTGGAGAGAACAGAGCTTTGTAGGTTCACCAGCTCTACCCTTCAATTAGAGCACATGATTGCACACTGCACACAAGCATCTGCCCCCCAAAATGCCTTCAGGAAAACAGGAAACAGCAGACTTGTCATGTCAGATATTTCTTAGATTAAAAATCAGAAAGCGCTCTTAAAAAATAACCCCCTCCACAGGCCTTTCAGTTCTAGCAAAAAGAAAAAGGGCACAAATCCCGTTTGTTGTTGTGGGGTTGTTTTTTTAAGCCACCATCAATACATGCAGGGTCAGTGTGAGGGTGAGCAGGCAGAGCACATTTCCACTGTTGCATTTTGAGATTACAGTGTATTTTGTAGTGCTTCTTAGCATTGCATTTACATTGCTTTCTCTCTACCAGAGTTCATATTCAGAAATTCCTGTCTGCAGACATGACGTGGTCAGTGTTTAATCCACGCCAGGGAAGCAATCCCCTGCACTGGCTGGAATAGTGATTGGGGTGATCCAATAGGTCTGTTTCATTTGCAATTTCCATGATACTATAACTGAAGAAAGATTATTTTACAGCTTCAGAAAATGGTAGTAGGGTGAAGTTTATGACGGGAGGAATTTAAGCTACACATAAGGAACATATTTGACAGCAAGGGCAACTGACGGACTTCCAAAGGGAATCTACTCACCAGCAGATTCAAAACTGGGGTAGATTACACAGTAATATATCCAGGATGCCAAGGGTCAGACTGAGGGACTTGGGGGCTTTTGTCAGCCATATGGCATTTATTGGCTCCATCTCTTACTAAAGATTTATAAATACCGTTGATCGAGTTCTTTGTTCTGTGGCACATTTTTCCTTCTAAACTAGGGGCTGTGAAAGAGAAAACCCCTCTTCTCTTTGCACCACCAGAGAGGTTTACATTGTTCTTTGTACTTCACAACTTCCATTTGCCAGCACTAGAATCCAAACATTGTTTAAGATGAGAAATAACTGCACAGCTGCGTTGACTGGCCAGATCTGAGGCAAGATTTGATGGAGGAGATCAGCGCAAACCCCCCAGTGCCTTACCAAGCCTGGGATTTGGCATGACAGTAAGAAAGCAGCGGCATCCTTTAATAACTGCTTCTGATCCTGCATTTCCTCTTTGCTGGACTCAGGGAAACGAACACCTAGGAGGGAAATTGAAGAGCTGAGAAACGGAAGGACAGAAAAAAAACCTTAATTCTTAAAATATACATACAAGAGCAGGTGGCAATAAACAGAAGTGCTTTGCCCTTTCCTGTTATAAAGATGCTCTTTAAGACCTATCAGTTCTGCAGAGCAATGCCAGCTGGAATAACCATGATCCAGGCTGCGTTTGTTACAGGCTGCTTTGCTCCGTTCTGTACCCGCTCATTCTTGTCTTTGTCTGGCACATTCCGAAGAGCCATGCACACTTACAGGGCTAAAATGAAGAGTTGGTGAAATGAGAGAGGGTATGTTTTGTCAGAAGGATCAACAAATTCTGCAAGCACTAGAAGCTCCTTAAGCCCTTCCATTAGATGGACTCAGGTTAAAATAACCTCCTTTAAGCTGCCATCCCATACAGAGTCAGCAGCAGCCCTGTCTTCACCATCAGCATTAAAAAGGTGCTTGTGGATGTCAGCTGAACACGGCTTCTACCGCATTTATATCCAGGCCAAGATATAGAGTCAAATCCTGCTGCTTTCGACCGCGCATGCGCAGCTCCTGTATCAGGCCATGGGGTTAGGACACTCACCCCCAAAGAGATAATACAGCACCGAGGAAGCATTTCCAGCATCTAATTTAGTCACCAACAGACATACCCGAGGATCCTGACTCGTATGGACGAGCTGTGATCAGCTTACAGCAGGTCAGGCGGGTTTGGTTTGTGATCTGCTAGAGCAGAGGCTCTCAAACTTCACTGCACCGCGACCCCCTTCTGACAACAAAAATTGCTACGCGACCCCAGGAGCCTGCCTGAGCAGGTCATTAAAATGGGGTCGTGACCCACTTTGGGGTCCTGACTCACAGTTTGAGAACTGCTCCTTCCCGCACTGGGGAGAATCAAACAGCCACCATGTGACAGCCATAGCAATTGTTAACGTGGACAATATCAGGATCGTATTTAATGTGTTTCTCTGCCTCCACGGATGTGGTCTAGCAGCTCGGATGATGGAGAGCCAGCTCCATGTGCCAGGCCAGCATTCTTCAGACCACCACCAAGTGTCTGTGGACTACTGGGGGGAGGCAGCCTACATGTAGTAGCTCGAAGCATTACAAACAATTACATTGCATCTTTCTGCCCCAGGCCCTGTGCCTATTAGCAAGAGCAGAAAGGGAGTCCACACTCTACTCCAAACAGTTTCAAGGCCATCCCTCTGAGCCCCTACCTGGTGAGAAGATATCTGGGTTAAACCGAATGTCAAAGGACGTGTCGCTGATGGAGCCCACGGCTTTGCAGGCATTTTGAATCACCTCTTTGCTTTTGGGATCCACTGGGTAAGGAAGGAGACAAAGAGACTTGGTAAAGAGTTAGAAAAAAGTAATGCAGATTCTAAAGACAGCCCACAGCGGACATTAAAGTAAGAGGCAAGTTTTATTATGGAGGAGTGATGTTGCTACATTGCTCTGCAAAAGGCCATTGTAAAGCATTTGGCAGCGTAATATTGTTTGGGGTACAAATACAGACCACAAAACCCAGACAAGGGCATAGAATTCAGTACTGAGAGTGCATCTCTCCACTGGGGGGGGAAAAAAAAAAAAAAAAAAAAATATATACACACACACACATATACTGGGACTTTCAGTTGGGGGCACAATTCCTATTAATTTTGGATGGGATTCAGGTGCCTCTCCCCCAAAGCCCCTTTGAAAATACCCGCCAGTCATGGCAAAGAGATTCCTAACGAGACAACAGTGTTTTCAGCATGCAGTGTTGGGAGCCTACTTATGCTGAACTCTCCGTTCGATCTTGTAGTTAGTGGTGACACTCTGAGTACCTTTCCCAGACCTGAAGAAAAGCTCTGTCTAGCTCGAAAGCCTGGCTTTCTCACCAACAGAAGTTGGTCCAACAAAAGATATTGGCTCCCCCACCTTGTCTCTCTTGTATTTTCAGTGGCAGGGAAAGCGCATGAGGCAGCCTGGTCTAGTGGACTGAAGAGGGCATAGACCAGAGATTCCCACATTCTGATTCAGGGTTGCTAATCCCTGCCCAGGCGTACCATGAGGGTTAATTTGCTAGTGCTTGAACAGTGCCAGGTAAATACTCGAGTGCTAGTACTGGGGAAGGCACGGCGTTCCGGTCTGAGCGATGGCACGCGTGCATTTATTGAGACCCACCAACTTGGAGCCGTTCTGATTCGGCACCCAATCCAAAAGCTACCAGGAAAAGCGTGGCCCTTTTTTGGTGCATGGGGAGTGGGTACCTGTTCCGTCATCAGATGCAATGGTCTCTGCCAGGTCTTTAACCTGATCTAATCCAGTCACGTTCTCCTCTATTTTACCATCATCGGATTCCGATTTCTCGCTTCCCCCCGTTCCATTCTCTGTGGAGACCCCATTTTCCAGCGAGCCCGAGTTCTCCAGCTTGTTGGCCTTCTGCTGCATCAGCTGCAGAGCAGCCAGCTTCATGAACAAGAGATATCTACAGGACAGGACAGGAGAGATCTAACAGAACGCAGCATTCAGCAAAATAATCCCGATGAGCCAGACCACCAGACTAGAGGAGAATCCAAACGGCTTGTTCTTTCTCGGATAGACATAAGATCACAGGGGCTAACGATGGACCATCTGAACCCTGCCTGGACATGTCCTAGTCCACATCTCAGACAGCCGAGCAGTACGACACTTGACCACAGACAGGACATTGGTCCACTGGTCAGGCGCAGTCACTACTGGTGTTCGGGCCGCTGCACTGTTCATTAGCCGTCATGCTGGGAAATTAACTCCCCGCAGTCGGTACGTTGCTTTCTGCCACTAGCCACAGGATACAGCCTAGGGGACCCTCTTTATCGCCAACTTCTGATCTCAGAAGGTCCAGGAGCACAGGGCTGCTATAAGAACAGCAGCAGCACTTACCTAAGACCTTAACAGATGGGGTTTTACCTACTTTATATGGGTCAATGAGTGGCAGGACCCTGCAATCAGGCCACCCCCCGTGCTGCTGGCCTGGCAGGGCTGACACCGAGCAGTTAAGGATGGGGCAGCACTCCAGGGAACACCTCGCTGCAGCCGGAAGTGGGGCTGGTGATTCAGCAGGTAGTGTTTCTCCTGGAGTCAGCACTGAAGCAGTGTCTCAGCCCAGCAAGAGGGCCAGGGCCGCACTGTTAGAGACGGCGAGGGAAATCTAGACCCTGACCATGTGCGGTAACTGAATATCCCACAGGTGGCCATGCAGAAGTAGGAGAGTTAACCTCAGCTCAGGTAGTTCCCAGCCTCTTGCAGTTGCCACAGGACATGGTGTTTTTGTTCAGTCTCTCACGTAAACACCATGCAGCATCATGCAGCTGCTACGGTCCGCCCTAGAGGGCAGTTGCCGTGATCCCTGTATGTACATAATCCTTCCTTGCCTCCACGGGGCTCAGGGAGTGTCTAAAGTGCTTGGAGATCCTTAGAAGTCTAGTGCTACAGGAGCGGTACGACTCTTATTACCCAGACCCTGAATGTGCAGGGCATCTTTGGGGAAAAGGAGAAAGAACTGGAGATTAAAACCAAGACATCCTTCCCTGGTTCTCCCATAAGCCTTTCAGAAGCCCCACTGTTTGAATCTCTCACTAAGAAAGTTTTCATAACAGCACCTGTAGGGGTGGGGGATGAGGGGAAAACTATTAGCTGCACGCAAATGGACGTTTTGCTAAGACGTAGCCGCCTGCAGCGTCTCTAGAACGATGCCGCATGCATTCCAGCCTGTGCTGATGTCACCCAGCAGGGATAGGTGGGGGAGAAACTCTGCTCAGCTCACCTGTGCTCTACAAAGGCGTCCACCAGCTCCTGCCTGAGACAGCAAAGCTTGTGCCTGTGCTGCTTGGGAAATCCCATTTTCTTACATTCTTCCGGCATCTCCTCCCCTTCGACGGGCAAAAAGTTCAGGTCGGGGGGGAAGGTGCGGAGCAGGTCGAGGATATAGTGGCGTCCATCGTTGCCAATGATGCCTTTGCACTCCACGGAGGAGCACAGCTCTACCTCCTCGTTCTTGTCATTCAGAACTTTGTGCTTCTGGATCTTGAGGGGCCGGCTGGTCTTCTCCAGCAGCTCCAGGTACTTGGGGTGAGAGACGACGGTCTTGCCGAAGTCTATCGACCCGTAGATGACGCTCTGCTCCTGCTCTCGTTCCAAGATCCCTGGAATGATGGACTGTGCCGTGACCCGGTAACCCCGGTAATCCACCACCACGGTCCCCAACGTGTACAGCCCCTCAACGTCCACCGCGTTATAGGTCCGCACCCCGTTGAGGTCGTTGGTGGGCGCCACGTAGGCGGCGACGTCCCCCCCGAAGTCCTTGTAGTGGTCGCGGACGTCGAAGCCCAGGCTGAAGAAAATGTTGTTCCAGATGAACATCTGCATCTTGGTCTCCTCGCTGGGATTGATGGCCATGACGTTGCCGTCGATGACGGCCATGGCTCCTCTGGTAGCGGCCGCCGTGAAGTCGCTGTGGACCTGTGCGTTGGGAGGGGAAGGGAAGCGTGAAGGCAGGCGAGAGCTGGGTAAAGAGAGCAGGCTGCCCACTGACAACGTATGCCCAGCACTTGCCCTCTATTCTGCCTCAAATCCCCTCAGCCGCCACCTCACGAGGGCCAACAGTCGGGATAGCGGTTTTCACCCTCACGAGTCTGGCTGATACGTAGATATTGAATACCTTATGGACTGGCCCCAGTTTCTTCAGCTTGGCCACTTGGGGTGCTACCGTGGGAAGGTACCTGACCGCTGGGAGCTAATCCCTGACCCGCCCCATTTGCTGAATGTCCCTCTTCCCCCCCCCGCCCTGTCAAAGCAAGGCTGCGTGGCACGAAACAGCAGCACCAGGCTGGGAGGAGACTCTGTCGTTGCTGGCAACACGAGCAGAGCAGGGAGATGAAGACACAGCTCCTGGCCTGCATCTTAGAAGCCTGAGGCAAAGCATCTGTGCTTATAAAGATTAAACCACAAAGCTCGAGCGAAGCTCTCAGTCAACCCAGGGTGGGTCTCTAATTGGACTGGGAATGGATTACCTACAATTTGTGTCTAATCCCCCCGCCCCAGGATTACCTTGAAAATGGCTCGTTCTCTCAGCAGCCTCTCTGGCAGATTCTTGCGGGGTAGCTCTCGTGTGGTTTGCAACTCCTCGTTCCAGTCTCGGGTCTGAAAGGGGCAAGTCTCAAGTGAAACAGGGCCGGGGGGGGGGGAGGTCGGTATTTGTAGTCTCTGAGCTAGTTTGCAGGAGTCTATCCCCCACTCCAGATCAGAAAGACCAATGAAGTCAGAGTTGCCTAGCATTTAAAAAGAAATTCCTCCTCAGCAGCAGCCCGCTCACAGCTAAAGTTCATTGAAACAGCAAGCTGTGATAGCTCTTGCATTGTCCCAGTTACCCAGTACAGCTTAGCTGGAATATCAACAAAGGGTTTGATGTGCTGCGATGCTGAATTAATTAGCCACCGTACTGAGATTTAATGACATTACAAATGGGCAGAGAACCAACATTTTGCAACCCCAAGGAACTTTCAACATTCTTAGGGCCAGAGCCATCAAGCTCCGCGGATCTAACCCCTAAGGGCTGTTTCAAGTGAAGCGCTCAGAGCTATTTTTTGAAGGAGAACTAGGCCAGTCATTTAGATCCTGATCCTGCAAGGAGTTCTGCCGAAGCTTAATTTTGTGCCCTCCCTGTAGTTTCGCTGACTTCAGTGGGATTATTCACAGTGAGTGAAGTTGAACACGGGCCTTTGCAGGATCAGGGCCTAAACCTTTATAAAAAAAACAACCCCCCCCCACACACATGCTGCAAAAGATACTTCTCCAGAGAGGTCCATGTGCAGAGCAATGTTATGATCTGAGCTGCAAAATAATTCTACCAGGTGGAAGGACAGGAGGCAAATTTAGTGGTGGGAGAAGGCAGCTAGATTGTCAGGATCCTGGCTCTGAGAGACACCTTGCACAGGACACTTGCTGCTTTGTGCCTCCACCTGCAAGATGAGGATATTAATTCTCCCCTGGCTTCCCATGGATGCCGGGAGGTTGTTATCCCTTGGGAAGCAATTTTCAGTTCTCTTTATGAAAGGCACTAAGAGCATCATCACCATCATCAACAGTAATACAGCATGCAGCTAGATATACCTGTCCAGGTATGTGCTCTTCATAGCCCAGCCTTGAAGTATAAGCATCTTCCGCCCTCACACAGTCCATGGCGTGCTCTGCCTGCGGTGCCGTCCAACTGTATACCTGGAAGGGGGTGGCTATCCTTTCAAAGGGATGCCTCTGAACCCTAGGCAGGAGTTCACAGCTATCAGATTATTTCCACTGAAGGGGACTTTAGATTTGGAGAACACAACAAGAATTCTCCTCCTCCCCAACAAAAGCTCATCAACAAGAACCAACATCAGCCCTATAAAGGGAACACAGCCAGCTCAACAAGTGTCATCTGATCTAGACCCACGCTCGGAACTGGCTTGAAGCTCAACAGCAACGTGGAGAATAAACTGGGCTTGGTACCTTTTATCCAGTCTTGTTCTTGGAACCAAGCTAGCTTTGTATGGAGAAAGCTCTCCCCACCCCAATCTTACAGCTGTGCTAATTCACTCTAGCTCTCTATGTTGGAGCTAGGATCATGCCTGTGCTAAGCCCTGGCCCACATGGATTGTTGTTATAAAAAATATAGCGTATCTGCCAGTGAAGCGAAAATGCAAGCTTCACCGAATGGCCTTTTGTGTAGCTTCTCTGCTCTCAGCAGGTGTCAGAATCCCATCTGTACTCATTTCTGGCTCAACAGGCAACAGACTAATCATTTTTTAAATGGCCACATAGTCACAGTGGTGGGTTTCAGGCCAGGGCTAATTTCTAGCTTTCGTATAGTGTCACTTTCATCTCCCTAATGAGACCAGATGCAGGATTTTTGAAAGCCATAGAACGTGCGTGTCAATTTATATCCTGCAGAGCCCAGGCAGTTCATTAAGTGGACTCTCCAAAGAATGACAGGTTTTGTTTGGGAGCAGAGTGAGTGAGTCCCTGTCGCAAGGACAAGGTTATAAAACAATTAGCGCATGTAATAATAAAAAATAAAAGTTACACAGAATTACAAGAAATTCACACGCATGTGTGTTTGCAGGTTTGTAATGAACAGGAGAGTAGTTATTTTAAACAAAATCACTGTGTGATACTTTTCCGCATATTATACTGGTCTTATTCTTATTTCATTATGCCCAGGCAAGAATGCCCACTGATAAGAGCTATCAAGGACTGTTACAGAGCTGCGTAATGCTTTACATTAACTCTTTGGTGCCTGGCTAGGCACACCAATCACAATAAAAGATATCTGCTCCGTAGATTCCTGAGGGCATTTGTTCCTCCAGTCCCTTCTTTACTGGAGGTTAAAGCCCCCCCCAAAAAAGGTGTCCCTTTCCCATGTATTCCCGGGAACCCAACCTTGTACACAGGCATAGACATTAGATTTCTGATCAGTGCAGTGACAATGCAGGCCCCGTGCCAATATGTTTACATGCTCTCAGGGAAGGTGGTCTAATGGTTCCGGGAAAAACTACCAAGGGGATTAGGTGTCAGGACTCCTGGGTTCCATGCACAGCTCTGTCACTGACTTGCTGAGTAACCCTGGGCAAATCACTTCAGCTCTGCACCTTAGCTTCCCCATCTGAAATGAGGATTTCACTACCTACCTCAGAGATACCATTTGTAATGATTTGTAAAAAGCTTGGGGATCCTTGCAACAAAAATGCAATGTTTCATCTAACTTCCAGTAAGCATCCCCCAGCTCTGACTGAAGAAGAGAGTGTTACAGTCAACACCTGGCTTTATGAGACAGACAGCACCATGCAATCCCCTGGACAGCAAGCCAAATATCTGAACCTCACACCAAGCCATTTGACCAATCAGAAAAGCCAAGGCAGCTCAACATGGAAACACTGCCGCTACCGTTTCTTCTGCAGAGCTGAGAAATTTCTTTTGAAGGTCGGGCTGATCTGGTTAAGAAGTTCCACCAGGGAATGACTGAGAAAACTCGGATTGGCAGGTTTAGGATTAAAGTTATATGCTGTCGACCTGCAAAGAGAAAGAAGCTCTTGTTATGGCAGAAATAAAAATACCACTCTTGTCAAGATAAGGCGGCAGCATTTTGGCAGCTTTTAATTTACACACCGTATGAAATGGCTCAAGATTATATATATATAAAAAAAAAAGATTTGCAAAATAGAGACCTTTGTGACATGTTCTCTACCAGTCACATAGGCTGTAATGGGCTCCTTCGAGGGTCATCTACTCCCTCCACTTAAACCACAATCAGCATCCTTGAGCCTGCATCCTGATAGATGGGGCAGCAAATGTGCCTAGAATCAGGCTAGCCACCACCAGAGTTATGTTTTCCCTTCCTAGCTTGAAAGGTGGATTTCACAGAGCGGGGCTTCTTCACTGTTTTGATCACATGGACCACCTCTTAATAGACCTCTCCCTTCTCAATCGGGAAGGCCCGCCTCCCACATCCACTCCTGGTCAAACAGCAGTTGCTTTTTTTAAAAAGCTCTTTCACAGAATATTCGGACAAGAAATGGAACGTTAGATTTGAGAAGGTGGAGTCACCAGGACCACACGAACCAGATCTCGCCACAGTTCACCAGCTATTGGTCTGCAGGCCACATTTTGGGAAACTCTTATAAGGAGTAGTTCATTCTGACTGTGGGCAACGACACCTGCATTCGAATGGCCTAAAATCAGACACTTTACCCACGGGAGTTAAGATATGCACATGCTTAAACCTTTACTTTCCTAGTCCCAACCCTGCAGATTTTGACAAGGGCTACAGACCACCCATAAAAGCTGATTTTCAATTATTTCTTCTGTGAGCTGGCTTTGCATTGGTCTCAGTGGCTCACTCTCCCTCTGAAGGAGAACAGGACACAGACACCCTCAACTTGTACGTTCTCTTCCTTAGTGAAGGGGGTTTGGTTCTAGTTTTGACTACTGTTTCCTCCATGAATTAGGACCTTACAATCTTCTAGCCCATCAGTTACATTTGCCAAGGAGATTAGCTAGCCTTGCAAAATTCTACTCACCTACAGCAAGCACAACACAATCCATTTATTTATTATTTGCATTAATGTAGTACCTAGAAGCTCTAGTCACAGACCTCATTATTGATCATCTACAGTCATGGTAAAGGGTGGGCAAGTAGACTATATGCCTGGGCTGGTCAACTGCCAGATTTTGCCAGGCTGGGGTAGACATATGCTTCAAGGCATAAGATCACCACAGGGGTCAGGAAGGAATTGCCTCCCATTTCAAACAGCGCTGCACAAGTCGCTTGGAGCGTAACGGAAAGTGTTACCTACTTCTAAAGCATCAGGCACTTATCTACTGCTGAGGAAGGATACCAGACTTGGCCAAATAGCTCGATCCAGAATGGCAACACCTAGGATCTTGCATAAAGGCAGGGTTATATTAGGCTCCTCGCTACCGAGACAAAGACACACTTCATTTTAAGCCAGTTAAGGCAAACAAGAGGACGAGAGTCATATTTACTCACTGATTCAGGTAAAATCCTCTGGTGGACGCAGTGATACTAACGTGTCGATCCTCCACAGTGATGATGTACAGATACATGAGGTCTCCGTGCATTTTCCGGTTGCCAGGTGGGGGGTTCCAGCCGCTCATGGTCAAGACTTTTAGGCACTGCAAAGGCTGTGAAGCACACAACACGAGCGCTTCCATTAGTCCAGATCCCCCGTTTCACAACACACTTCACATGGCTAGAATGCACACACTTTCATGTGCAAGCGCTCTCGCTCTCTCTCTCTCACACACACACACACACCCCCGGCTGCACCCTCATCCGTCCCAGGAACGCTGCTTGCCAAGTTAGTGGTCCTGAAAGTACGCGCCCACTAAGCACTTTGCAAGTCTTGCCCATGGGATATTTCACAGCTCACACCCAAGCATCAGAGCGTCGTTCTTTATCCATAGTTGAAGAGCAGATCCTCCATGGCTTTAGGCAGTATAAGGCATGGATTTCTTGACGCAATGGTTCTCAAAACAGCAGCTGCTAAAGCGGTGTTGGAATCCAAACGGGAAGGTATGGGAAGCACCAGTGTAATTAGACTAAAGCAATTTGAAGCCCCAGTATCCTAGAATTTGCAAGGGGTAGAAACACAAGATCTCCCCTCCTCCCCCGACCCTTTCAAGACGATGGGTCACTACTATAAAGTGATCCACCTATCCCGTGTAGTCTGTGTGCAAAATACTGGACCTTAAACTTTATGCCTGTGGCCTAGCAGTGCTAGCTATTCAGGCACAGGTCCAGGACTCAACAGAGCAAGTCCCAAAGGTCACTTCACTGTAACTTTCAATCCCTGAATGTGTCCCTTCAAGAGGGGCCCGGACGGCCATTTTCAAAGATGGAAGAGAACTCTACCTTCCAGTCTCTGTTCTGGGGCTGGAGGGCACAGAGGGGTCTCTCTTTGCCACCTGGCAGGATATGTTCAGGAGGGGTGCAGTCAATTTGTTCCATTTCAGTACCTTTCTTCTTCCGTTTCCCACTGTCTAAACAAACGGACAGACAGGAGATGAGTGCTGAACAGTGACTGCCTGGTCGCACGCAGTGCAGAATATTTCCATGTGGAATTTGATTGCTTGAATCCCCCTCCAGAATTAACCCCATCTGTTTGGCCTGTCGGAACTACACTTTAGCTACGACCACTGTGCAAACAACTGACAGCTGCTCCCTTCTCCCAGCCTGACATTAGCATTATAGCAGGAAATGTTTTTTATTAAGCATTGAGGCTGGAGTTCGCAAAGCGACCTAAAGGAGTTAGACGTTTATAACTTCCGCTGAAAGTCATCTTGAGCACTGTTGAAAGGATTTTGGTCCCTAACCCCCCTTTACACCCCTTTGAAAGGTTACCTCTGCCTTGTAAGCTAGTGTATCCAGAAATAACAATCTCCACCTTTCCGGTTCGCTTCTCAAGAGTGAAAACATCCCAGCGTGAATATAACTAGCCTTGGAAGGATTAGATTTTTAATCAGTAAACCTCCATTTCACCGTATGCACACTAACCAACGGAACAATGTTTCCGTCAATAATAATCAAAACGTACAGACAGGCAAAGTAAGAAAAACCCATTAGAATTTAAGGCCATTTACTTTGTGTATTTTGACATGTGATGGTGAAATTTGTGTTTGAACCCTTATAAAACTTTACCTTATTGAATCTCAGTGTCGACTGTCATTAAATAATTATTGTCTGACCACCCCGTAATTTCTTGTAACTGTCAACATTTAAGATCGATAAAATAATAAAAAAAAGCTTAAAAATAAAAGATCTTATCTGTCAAAATTATGGAGAGGGGGGAATCAAATTCTGCCATACCTAAATATAACTGCAGCTCAACGTCCCTGGGTTAAGACACTTCCCAACTCAATGAGAGCGGCTGGCTGCTCAACACTTCTGAAATTCAGGTTGCTTATCCAGATACAGACTTGGGATCCTAACATTGGGTATCAGGTTTTTAAAGTCTTGGCCACTATTTGAACGGAGAAACAGTCCCCCACCTAGAACTCTCCCCACTGCACACACCTTCACGTAAGAGCCTGGGAAAGTGTGTCCAACTATGCCTTGAGGGGTTAATAGGCCTTCATGTTACAGATGGGCAAACAGATCCAGCCCAGAGAGGAAAGGTAGTCCAGGGGTTAGGACACTAGCCTGGGCTCTGGGAGACCCAGGTTCAATTCCTGCTCCATCACAAACATCCTGTGTGAGGCTAGGCTAGTCCCTTAACCTCTCTGTGCTTCAGTTCCCATCTGCCCATGGGGAAAATAGCACTGCTCTATCTCACCGAGTCCTGTGAGGATAAACACATTAAAGTGCATGAGGCGCCCACATACTGCAGTCATTTAAGCCACACAAGCACCTAATATAGACAGAGTACACGTTAAGTGGCCTAAAGCCAGTGACAGAACCAGGAAGAGCAGTCAGGACTCCTGGCTCCACAGTGTCTAGCCACTTAACAATAAATCATTTATATCAGGAAAGGAGTGTTGAGAGTTTTACCCTAGGCCCCGCTGATATGGGGCATCCAGACATTAAACCAAGCGCTTTAACCGATTAAGCAGTCAGCGTGGTGGAACGGCTGCATTTTCCACCGCAGCGGAGGGGTTCGTCAAACCCGAGAAGCCTCCTGTCCCATACCTCCTAGGTCTCCTTCCGTGAAGATGCTCAGGAATGAGAGCGAATTGCAGTCCACGCCATTGAAAGCATCGGACGGGTCAAGGCTCTTCAGAAGGTCCCGAATGTGACGCACGTGTATCCTGGCTTCCCGTACCGTGTAGGGCTCTGATCATCAGAAGGGAGAGAGAGTCTCAGGGTCACAACAGTTTACTCCCGTCGTGGCTCTCGAAGGTCTCTACGCACACACAGGGAGCTCAGCCAGGGATTAATTTTGCCCACCTCATTTTATAGCCGTTCTTGTCCCTCACTAAGGACAAGCAAGTGAGGCACGAGCACAAACAGCCACTGGCAATTTTACATCACCAACCACTTGCGCGTTGCTGCAGCATGACAAGATACCTCTGCCTGTGTGAAGGCCTTGCACGCCACCTGACCTCATCTGTAAGCTTTCAGGGCTTTCTTGGGAAGCAAGTACAGCCCATGAGCCCAAACTCCAATAACCAGGTTCCTTAAAAGATGACCAGCATGGAGTTGGATTCCACTGTTCTGCTGGTGTGTTCTGCTCTACGCATAGGGGCAGCCAGGAAGTGGCATTTTCCCCTGGTATATTTGGCATGGGTGAAGCTCACTGGATACAGGAGTACCCCCCATTGTGCAATGGATGCCCTCCCAGGGCCTGATTTGGGGGGGGAGGGATAGCTCAGTGCTTTGAGCAATGGCCTGCTAAACCCAGGGTTGTGAGTTCAATCCTTGAGGGGGCCATTTGGGGATATAGTTGAGGATTGGTCCCGCTTTGAGCAGGGGGTTGGACTAGATGACCTCCTGAGGTCCCTTCCAACCTTGATAGTCTATGATTCTATATGATCAACTTCACCTTGCATGGATACTACCTGGGACCCAGTAGTTTGCTGGTTACCTAGCCATTCACCTGCAGGCTAATGGTGCAAAGACTCGTGGCAACAGGAAGTTATCCCCCGCCCGACGGATGCTCAGTGGCTTGCATGAGTTTGATCTCAGTCCCGTCCCCAACCATGGAAAGGGGTCACGTTGCAAGAACCACCTCCCCAACTGATTGTCTTGCAGCCTGGCACCAGAGGGGCCTAGGACTGACTGGGCCATGGGATTGGTTCTGACAAGTGAGGGCTAAGGCGAGGAGGTGGCAGCCGGGAGTGGTCGGTGGGGACGGAGAGGGCCCCTCCCCATCTCCAGAGGTGTCAATCAAGTACCTTGTCCTCACTGGCCCTAAGTCTGTAGAAAGACAATCCAGAGGCTTCATTGTCTATCACTCAGATGGTTTTCCCCGCCCCCCACGTTTATAGAACGTGCCTTCAACCACTTTCAGCACCGACCCCTCCTGCAGCCCTTCAATGGTTTTCAGCTCCGCAAAGTTATCCAGGACGTTCCCATCCAGCTGCAGAGAGAAGCAGGTTCGGTGGCAGGTGTCCTCTCTGTCCATCAGCACTTGGTGGATCTCCTGCACCATCTCTTGGGGAGAGACCTTAAAACAAACAAACCAAATGAGTTACACGCTCAGCTCCACCTCCTTCCGGTCCCTGGGATACATCGGGTACTGGGCATTTATGGCGAGAAAAGAGCGAGCAAGGGAAGATTACAATATTAAGCATTTGGGGCCAGATTTTTAAAGGATGCCAGTGGCAAAATGGATAATTAGGAACCGAGACTGCTATTTCCCCCATCTAATTTGCTTTGCACACACAATGGCGTGTTATGCGGGTACAGCCACGCTGCACTTGGGGGAGAAATTCAGCCTTCAAGCACGCAGTTTCAGCAACAGACAAAGCTGTCTTGACTTACATGACTGGCCTACCGAGGCTCCTCTCTCACCCTTCTGCCACGTTTCAAACATCATTTAGGCCATTCTCGAGCTATGCAGACCAAGGATGGTTTACATAAGCTGCTGTAAACAGCATAGCCTGCTATTATTAGCCTATTAAATCTAACAGCCAAAAGGAATTAAAGGAAAAAGGAGCCGTGTTCAGATTCATCTGGTTGCGCTGGGGAGATCATTTAACTGTATTTTCTGCCGGTCACAGGTAGTTACGGTTCCCCCTTCATTTAGAGACTCAGACGCCTGGGGGGGGGGGGGGGGAAGCTTCCCCTAGGCTGTTTTCAGTGCCAAAGTGTAACAGCAGCTGAGCCCATCAAAGCACATCCTTATCTGCGGGGACGTCACATGCTAGTATATTCATCCCAACTCTCGTGACCAAAAGGAGCTTCTGTAACAACTCTGCCACAAGCAGGAACTCATCTTAACTCTCGGCCACAGCACAGTTTTGCACACGGCTTAGCACCGTCCCCGAAGCATCTACCTGGAATCCTAAGGACCCAAAGAGACTATGGATTATCATCCCTCTCGGGGCGGGGAAGGCATCTCCTTTACAGAGACCACCCCCGCCACTAGGGACTGACCCACTTTCCACAGCCTCCTTGGCACTTTGCTGCAGAAAGGCTGAGGAACCAGCCCCATCTCATAGCAGTTCTCAAAGCCCCAGAGGAAGGCAGATGAGCAGATCACTCCCTTTCTCATCCAGCCAGGCAAGGCAGCTCTTCTCTGAGCAGCTAGAAGGGCCGGCTGTTCGACCCGACATGCTCAGCCTGACTTTGCCTCCCATGAGCTCACGTTGTCTCTCCAAGCTCAGGACCTTGGATCCAGAATGATTTTTAACCTTGGATCCTGCCGTGCGCAGCCAGAAACACAACGCCGCTGGACAAGAACGGAGGGGAGAGAACAAGCCTGCTGGTGGGTGAACGGAGAGGGGGAAGAACTCTCGCAGCTGCCCCATCATACAAAGCAAAGCCACTCCCCACACCGACAGGGTTGGAAGGTGTGGTAGTAGGAAGGCTAACAACTAGGTACTAGAGGGGAAAAGCCCACTCCTATAGGCGCTCTGAGACATGCGGTCACATCTCCCAAACTCCACTGGCTCCTCGTTTGTTTCAGGATCCAGTGCACCACGCCTTCCTTGTTGTCAACTGAGCCTCCACAGGTTTTCCCCAGTCGGCCTCCAAGACTACATCTCCCTTTGTTCGTCCAGCTTCCTTTCTTTCCCTTCGCATTGCCTCAACACCGCTGCCTCAAGAGCCTTCTCCTCTGCAGCTCTGTCTCATTGTCCTCAGGCAAGATTTGAAAAGGGAGAGGGAAAAAGAGCCAGCCAGGGAGGAAAGGTGTCTTTGTGACCATGAGATGCTGGCTAAGCGTCATTATTAAATTAAAACAGACTTCCTGCAAGTGCAGCTCTGCCAAAACACAGCCAGCCAGTCACCTGTTCTTTCCCCTTCACTCATTGGGAGAGATGGTTGGATGTGCATGCACCAACCTCAAAGACTTCTGGTTAGCTTTTGCCATGCAGTGTATGCCGGTATAGGGAGATCTCATGGAAACAGAGTTCTAATCCCAGCCCTGACCCTGCTTTCCCGCCTTCCCCCGACACCTGGGGCAAGTGATTTAACATCTCTCTTCTTCCTGCTCCCCTCACTTCTCGGGATAATGCCGGACCTACCTTCCTCACTCACACAGATGCGTTGAGAGGATTAATTAGTTAGCCGTTTGTAACAGTGCTTTGAAGATTAGCTTTGCAAGTGTCATGCTATATGCCGGCATAAATGATTAACAAGCAAGCCAGCAAGGGTCAGCCAATCTGGGCACAAGCACCTTATCCAGTCCGGGTCTTTCCCTCATAACCGCTTTGTTCTCAACCAGTGCTCACCTGCAGGGAAAAAGGTTCTATTCCTGGAGCGTAAATCTTGACGGTGAAGCCGGTGTCCTGTATGACGATAACTTCCTGGTCGTTCGCATCATCCCCTGGGTCAACCTCCTCGTGGCCGTTCTGCCTGCTCTCCTCCTTGAGGTGCTCGTAAGAGCCGTCCCCGTTCATTAAAGCCATGCCAGACGGGTGTTCTAGTCACAACGCGGGAGAGGGGAGAGAGAGATTTAGCAAGGGCCCAAACAACAAAGACAGTCGCCCCGGGTTGCTTAACATACCAGCCTACCATAAACTGGCAACCTCCATTTCAACAATCTGTGGTTTAAAAAAAGCCAAAGTCATTAGATTCCCCCCTCCCCCATACAATTGGTGTTTAATAGACATAGGTGTGCCAGACCTTACCGCTTGCATACGTAACACCCTTTCCCTTGCCCAAGGGGTATACATCTCCCAAAGCGAGCAGAATCAGCAGGGCAGAGGTGGGGGGGAAGGAGAGAAGAGAAACGGAGAATGGCTCAACCTAGAAAAATTCACTTCAATTTTAAGAACCTTCTTAATGAAAAGAGATGGGTGTGTGGTGCTTTGCAGCCTGAGGGCAGCTGTAACTGGTGCACCAACAAGTTACGTGGGTTCTTAAATACCTTCCCTTCCCTTGTTCTCCTGTTCAGCTAAAAAGACGGCAGTTGCATTGCTAACCTGCATGTCATGTGGGACCCAAGCTACTTCACAGAAACACAAACCGCTCCCACGCCCCTGTGTGCATCACGCAACTCTTTACATTTTAAAAATACTTTGCAGATGTCTTGCAGTACACGGGGAGAGACTTTGCTTGAAGAACACGTCAGCTGACACATGCAAAATGAAATGACTTGTTGTTTTGCAGTTCCTCCATGCCCACCCTGGTCCTACTGCCTGGACATAGCCAGATTTTTCTTACTCAATGACAATCTGCACATACAGAAGCCATTGGCAGTGTGATAAATGGCAGTGATCTGTTCAAAATCCATAACGCTGTGGAATCGTGTCCTAGAGAGTCATATGAAATCCCTACCTCAATTTAAATGACACTGGGCAGAACACTGGGGAATGTGCTGTAGGGAGATTACTACTGTACCGGTCATGAAGGAAGGGGCTGGCCTGGATGATCTAATAAAAGAGCTACACACAATTTTATTTAGTTAAAATATGCTGTTTCCTCAAAGCTGAAAACTTTTGCAAGTGGCACATCAGTCTCAGGGTATGTCTACACCCAGCCGCTAGTTCGGCGGCTGGGAATCGAAGTTCTGGGTTAGACTTATCGCGTCTTGTCTGGACGCGATAAGTCGAACCAGGAAGTGATCGCCGTCGACTGCGGTACTCCAGCTAGACGAGAGGAGTACCGCGGAGTCGACGGGGGAGCCTGCCTGCCGCGTGTGGACCGAGGTAAGTTCGAACTAAGGTACTTCGAACTTCAGCTAAGTTATTCACGTAGCTGAAGTTGCGTACCTTAGTTCGAATTGGGGGGTAAGTGTAGACCAAGCCTCAGTGAAGTTTTCATCAGGATGGTTTAAGGAGAGACACTGTCACCTTGCAGCCTGGTGGTTAAGAACAATGACTGGGGATGTGGGAGACCCAGATACAAGTCCCCGCTCTGCCTGATTCAGAGTGATCTGGGATGAAAAGCTTCTGTTCTGGTGCCCTCCTTACCAGGAGACAGCCCCTTTCCACATCGAAAAAGATACTTTCCTGGGGGGGGGGGGGGGGGGAGAGAAAGGTTCAAAAGGTTTTTTCTTTGTTCCAATACAGAACTAAAACAAATGTCACAACCTCAAAAACTGCCGTGAAATGAAATAGTCATCCTCTTACTCAATAGGTTTTTTACATTTCTACTGCTTCTAGGGAGTTGCAGTCTCATTCCCAGCTGCATTTCTGGGTATTCCGTAGCATTTGCCTAACCTCCTTTAACATGCCACTCCATTTTTGTAGCTGATTCGGGTGAAGACAAGCGTTGTGACGCTCCAATACACATCAGTGAGCATCAGCCACGCTAGCCTCAAAGCGTCAGCTCCTCTGCAGCCCCAGGATGGTCAGGTAACCACTCAGGCTCTCACTTTTACCATCTGGAAAATGGGGATAAACATATTTACTTGCCTGCCTCTTGAAGGCGCCACAAGAGTTAAGTAATTAACGCCAGCAAAGCACTAAGCGTTCTCTCCCATGTGATTATTATTCTGGTATTATGGCTCTAGATTAAGATCACTCCTAATGTATTGGCCTCCTACCGGCAGATGACTGTCAAGGCCAAATTACAAACAGGTGCAAGAAATGAGGCAGGAAACAATTTCTCCCTATCCAATGGGACGGGGTAAACAGCAGAGCTGTTTTAACAGCCTCTGGTGCCACCAGCAGTGGCTGCCCAGACGCTAATGTTTAGTGTCCCTCTACATGTCTCCCCCGCACGCTGTGCTGTGTCAGAAACCCACGAGCAGAGCTGACTACAGGCTCCACTAGGATTCTGACACACCCAAGCCAGGCTGGGAAAGAGGAACAGACACACTGCCCGAGTAACAGTACCCTGAGAAGCCGGGTCTTTGAAGGGCAGAGCCCCGGGGAGAGGCACCCCTTGTTACACCTATAGAGCAGAGCTCCCTTCAGACAACCTGGTGCACAGGGGGATGAGGCCACAGGATGCCCCTGAAATGCTACTCTGGGGTTACTAGCGTTGATGACAGCATTATCCCTCCCCTGCCCCATAACCCGACTTCTGGAGCCTAGGACAAGGCTGGCTCCTGCGTGGGTGCCATCGGAGGGGGAAGGGCTCCCTTGCTGTACTCTAGCGGACGTGTAGGTGGGGAGGCAGGGTTTAGCCCCAAGCGGGCTACAGTGGGCCCCATGTACAACAGGCTATTTTAGACTTAGGGGAGCTTTCACTTGGTGTCACCAGACACACAAAGGCCAGTCTTTATGCTCTTCCACCCAGCAGCCACCCTGAAGCTCTTGCTTGCAGCCCTGGCAAACTACATGGGCTCAGTACAGCAGGCCTCACTCCATCCCCTCACACCAGGATCCCATGGATGCTATCATCAACCCAACATTGGCTGCTCTGCACACGTGTGTCTATCTCCGAGGAGTTGTGCGCGAGGAGGTATCCCACCCAAACAGACCCACAAGAGATACCCAGTTTGGACACAACAGCCACTCCGGCAACAGAGCCCGTAGAGAGGAACACGGCCAATTGACATTCTCCAAGATTACTACCTTTTTCTATGGCTACAAAGGCAGGAAACACATCAGATGGAAACACTTCTAAGTTCCCAGCAAGTAAGTGAAGTTTCCTAAAAAGCAAGTGGAAATTAACTGACTTGCTCAGAGGTGGGCAGTTCTAGAGACAGGCATGCCACTCATTTTCCCACTAGTGTTTTGTTTTTTTGCTGAGGCATCATGGGCTAACAAATGCTGCAAGCCAGGACTACCCTGGCTCCAAGCATGAACTGAGCAACACCGACTGGTCATGGATAAGTGCTAACAACTCCATCTACCCAAGCGAACCCTGCCACCAAACAGAGTCAAAGGAGAGGCTGCATATGAGCTTTCCTACATAAATTCGGGGCGATGCTTCTGTTTGTGACTTTCCTGGGCCATAAAAGTTACCAACTAATGGAGTGAGCAGCATTTTGGTGGACTGCTTCCTAGCAGACCTCGCCACATCAAGAAGCTGCCATCATGCAATATGGTGCAATATAGCCCCCACTGGCCATCAGGAAAGGATATGAATTGGTAAAGCTATGGGGCGGGGAGGGGGGCAGCAAAGAGGTGGCAGTTTAATGCCTACTTGCACCACACGATCCAGCTCTAGCCAGGACGGTCTCAGGTTGAGGTGCAAGAAATTAATCCTGCACCGAAAGAGAGAGACAGTCTAGCAGATTAACCCAGTAGTTTAGGTCACCTTTCGGAAAAGGAAGATGGTTTTACAAATCAAGGGAGGGTTTTCAGGACATAGCTTGTATGGAAAGGGCAATCTCTTTCGTTGCAACCGCAATTTGGTGCGGTGCAGGGGAGTCTCCTCAGGGTATGCATCGCATACTCTGCAGTGACTCACAAAGCCTAGCAGAGCTTTGCATGGAAGTTTCGCCTACCCACCAACTTTCACTGCTGCTCTGTAGAACCAGATAGAAAGGGAGACGACAAACAGAAACAAAGCCAGCTGTGCCAGCGTTTTCCACAGAGAAATGCCTGAGGTAATCAAACAGCACAAAGAGGAAAAGGAAAATAAATTTTACAAGCTCACCTTCAATAAAATGTAAGATTGTTAGTAACAAAGGCAATTTTTTTTTTTAAAGCTAGGCATTTTTCTTAGAGGCAATGCCGTTTTATTTTATAATTCTCAGTCCAAACCTGGAACCAGTGTGTTGTGCTATTCGATCAATGGATATACTCACATGAGTAAAGTTAATCGTTTCTTCAAATCACAAAACATCTCTGGGCATCTCTCTTGTGTTTTTTACGTTTTAATTTACAAACCAATGTGTTTGTAGGACTGAGGCCCTACTCTACAAAAAAGTGCAACACAGAATATTTTAAAAATACGGTATGGTAATATACTGAATCATGTCTGAGAATTGGTTGTGTTCTTTTCAGAAACCTTAGCCCAGCAGCCCCTCCTTTCTGCTCAAGGACCCTGATCTTATCACTATAAACAGCAACATGGACATTCCTTCTATTTCTAAGTTAAACCTCTAACACTGCTTGGTGGTCACAACTGTTCGTTTGAACCTCCAGGTTCTTCTATTATTTAAGGTGACAATACGCACTTCCAGTAAGAATCCTCGGGGTCTGAGCCCGCCCTCACAGGCTCTTCTAAAGTGATTGAACCATGTTTTCTTTGGGCAGACACTTCAGCTGTAACTAAATATTCTGAGCCATTGGTTCATATCACAATCCTCACCTGTGTTCAGGTTCTGCTGACCACTATGTTGAAAAAACAAGCAAACCAAAATATTATGGTGAAAACCAACTCTTCAGAGGGAATAGAGAAACCTGTAGTACTTGATCAAATTACATGTCACACCTGGTGTGAATAGAATTAGTTTCTATCTACTCACATGGACAGACCAAAAAACTATTGAGACAAGACACCGCATTGTGATTATCTCTATTTGTACTGAACCCACACATGAGGTAGGCACCTCACAAAAACAATTAGATCAAGGTCCCTGCCAAGGTGTAATTTTAATATCTGAATTTGAGTACTACTTCCTGTAAGCAAGAGAGGTAGTGGAACATCAGAAATTTAGATCCATAATGTTCAAACAAGCCAGGGAAGTGCCAAATAGCTACGTCAGTGGTTTTCAATCTATGATCCAGACACCCCTGGGGGTCCACAGACTATGTCTAGGATTGCCAAAAGGGTCTGCATCTCCATTTGAGATTTTTTAGAGATCCACAAATGAAAAAAGGTGGAAAACCACTGAGCTATGGTCATTGTCATTCTTTTACTTCAAGAGACAACAACGATGCCTTTTAACAGAAACACTTTGCTGCAGATTTCATCCTCAGGCCTAAGACATAGCAGTATAAATGCGGTCCCAAGCGAACCTGCTAAGAAGTTACATTCCAAACTTAAGAAATAAGCGACACTGTCAAAATAAAGTGAGGTTTTTGGTTTTTAAAATCCCCTTACCTGCATTTAGCAACACTAGCAGCAGACTGTTAAAGATGAAGGAATTAAAAACCTACTTTGTCCTTACTCATCTTAAGCATGAACCTGTCACCACTGTGATTCCAGGTTCGTTCTGAGGGTACAAACATGTCTTCACAGTCTGAAATACGCTTCCAAACTCCAAACACTTGTCTTGCTTTTAAGCATGTCTGCAGAATGAAAATGCACATTTGGCACAAAGATGAAAACAAATAAGAACCCCAGCACGCTAAAAGCATTCCCACCATCTTACTAGCTGAACCCAAGACAGCATTCAGGACCAAAATTCCATGGTGTTACACTGCTGCAAGTACGAAACAGCAGTAACAGAGCAGAAAATGCAGCTACTGCACATACACAAGGGCAGAGAAGAGCAGAATCTTTGACCCCAGGACTTTTATACTCTGCGTCCAATGATCTGGGTGGAAACAGAAGCCTGATGGGATTATCACTTTGATCTCAGGTTTAAGTGACTAATATTTAGATTTAAGCCATGCTAGTGTCAGTTTTCAGAAAAAAGCAAAATGGGGGTGGGGGGGGGGAACAGAACAAACCTGTTCTCCAAAGCATTTCCACTCAAAACAAAAGCCAGCATGTCTACTAAACTCCTTAGCACCTTTTCGGTAGAATTCGGCCACAAGCTGATCACAACTGGCCCGAGTTTTAAATAAACACATTATTTTTAAAGACTGGCATTGTAATAATGCACACATGAGTGCTACTGCAACATATCACTCTGGTTTATTGCTACGGATAGTGCCTCCTGTGGAGAGTACCAACCTGAGGACCAATAAACACAAATCAGATCCCACATGGAGTTCCAAGTAGCTCGGCTCCTATGTGTTTTATGACATCATAGAATCATAGAATACCAGGATTGGAAGGGAACTCGGAAGGTCATCTAGTCCAACCCCCTGCTCAAAGCAGGTCCAATCCCCAGACAGATATTTGCCCCAGATCTCTAAATGGCCCCCTCAAGGATTGAACTCACAACCCTGGGTTTAGCAGGCCAATGCTCAAACCACTGAGCTATCCCTCCCCGCACCATGCCGGAACCCTCCACTAAGCTATCTTGCTTGGCCTTCACTGACCTCACTCACCTATTTGACATACCAGATGGGATCTACTGAAAGATATCTAAACTGTGCAGCTATCCAACAGAACCAGCAGTGACTTTAGCCATGTGGCCCTAACCTAGGGGCTTATCCTTTGCCCAGCTCCCACTTTAAGCAGGGGAAAGATGGAGGAAGAGGAGCAGGAGGCTGCCCAGTCTACAGAGCAAGTGCAGATCTGCTTAGAGGCTGTTTCATGGCTCAGATAGCTCTGCCCATCTCGGACTTGGCTCCACCATGAGACAAGGAAGCCAAAGACTTACAGAGCTGTACTTCTGATCCCTCCCTTCCCTGGGCCTGCCTTCAGTGCAATAATGTAAAGAGCCCCTTGTCATCCAGCTCTGGCCTTTGAACAGCACAATCATATCGGGAGAGGCATAAACTGGGGCTGGATTTGCCTAAAAATAAAAGGAATAGCAGACTAAATACCTTAATTCTTCATGCAGAAGTTTGCACACACCCTGGTATAAGCACACACCTTGTGACACCATGCATGCACAGGGGACAGCCACATGATAGTTTGCAGAATCACATGGAAGACCGTATTCAGCAGGCACCTTTCACAAGGGCACCATCCTCCCCCCTCCCCCATACCACTTTAAACATTCTAGACCTTGAAAAATAAAAATAAAGGGGGGGGGGGAATAGCCACAGAAGCATGTATTCTCTTCTCCTCCTTAACCTTAACCGCTCCTTAACCGCGGAGCTTTGCCCGAAGAGCGACATTGGCCCAAGGTTAGGGTTCCATTCTCTTATTAGGCTTTAGCCATCAGATCATGCTACCTCTCCGCAAAAGAAGAAAAATTAGAAGTTAGCTTGTAACCTTCATGTTACATTTACGCACGCGCAACCAAATTTTCATAGTAACTCATCCATACTGCACATAAGTACACATTGTGCCTCAATATATAAAATAAATGGGACCAACCGGTTCTATATGTGGACATTACTGTTTCTTGTGCACTTCCTGATCGGTGTATAAATGCATAAAGCGAACACTGTAATAGCTTACTCTTTTAAAGAGCCTTTGGAAGGAGCAGGATGCAAAAATAAGTCCTAGTTGGTTGCACAGTGCAAATGCACACTTGGATGTTAAAAATCCGCCGCCCTAAAATATCCTGTACCTAAGTATAGTTTTGCACAAATCTGCAATTTTTGCACGTTACCATAGTGCTGCACTTCGGAAAGAGACCCACTGCACACAGAACATCTCTTTTAAAAGATCCCGACCTTGCAATTTCATACAGCAACTATTCCTTACCGAGCTCTAGTCACTTGTGAAGTCAGAGGTTTAGATTGCAGTGATTGAGTTCTGTGCACAAAGAAAGTTTGCTTTCATACAATGGAAAAAGCTTTTGTGCAAAGATCAACAAAAATAAAAAAAAGAAGTCACCTTGAGACAGAGCAAACATGGGATATTTCAGCTGAAAAGGAAAAGTTTTGAGATAGTTAAGGGAGTGAATACAGAGTCTGTATGGAAATGTGATTCTTCCCAGTATATCCCTCCCCCCATAAAGACATTATATATAAACAAACACACACACACACACACACACGGAAGAATAAAAACTCACTCCCCAAGCACCTAAAAAACAAAGCTTCCTTTTCCTCCGCCTTTTCTTCTGCTTTGATGGCAGGATGCTCACTTCACGATCAGGATCAAGGTTTAACTCGCCATCTAGGCCAATTGCAGGATTGGTCAGTAAGTAACAAGTGCTTTTATCCTGGATCATATGTGTATTCTCATCCGTAATGACAGACAAGACCATCGCTTGGATATTCTGGCTTTTCTCTGCCTCTACAGAGTGGTTAGAGTCAGGCGTTTCAGCCGGTTCACAGCTCCCCAAGTTAGAAGCATTAGTTTTGTGTTTTAACTGGGCACCCGGATCTGCTAACGATGGTTCCAAATTGGAGGCTTTTCCCCTCTTAGAGAGGTCCCGGTTTTGCTGCCAATCAACAATAGGCATTCTGTGGGCTGCAGCTCGTGTGTCAGCTGGTACCACAGGCTCTTCCTGGTTGCACGATTCAGAGTCTAGGCCATTGGCCTCAAGTGTCCCGCAATTCTGGCAGGCCTCAAGTGACTGAGAATGATTTAACTGTGTAGCTGATCCTTTCTCAAGGTCACCAGGAAGGACAGCCAGAGCAGAAGATGCCTCTGCCTGCTTTATTAAGCCAGCAACAGCAATGCTGAGTTTCGAGCAGCTGTTTTCACAGGCCTTCATCATTTCTTCACTGCCCTTCTCCTGGGGTAAGCCTTGAACATGTTCTGGCCATTTTTGCAGACTTTCATTCGATGCATTGCTGAGAATAATGTCCGGATACAGCAGCACGCACTTGCAAGCTTCCGAGACACCTAACTTCATTTGAACAGGGAGGGAGACATCAGGAGATGCAGTGCAACTAGCGGGAGATTTGGGTAAGAGAGGGGCCCTCTCAGCCGAATTAAAGCTGTGTGTCTGGAAGATGAGATCAGTGACGTGTCTGCAGCAATTTGCAAAGATACTGTTTCCCATGATTACAGGTTACACAGATAAAAGACCAAACGGGAGAAGTACAGTTTGTTTGCAATCTCTTGTTTGTACACATATATATTAAAGTACACAAGAAAGACAGGTCTCGCCTGGTCTACAGTTTGGACTTGTTAATGCTGCCACGTAGCTAGCTGATCAGATTTTCTAAGAAAATTCTTATTTGAACCCCAGGAGACAAAAAGCACAAGACTAATAATTTAGACTGCTAGCATGCAAAGAGACATACGTCAGGGAACAAAGAAAGTATTCTCTTAAACACTCATGTTTCTTCCCTTCTAATATCTTACGCAGATTTAAACCTTGGATTCACCATAGTGGGAGTTCTCCCAAAGTTCCTTCCAGTGACCTTCATCTTCCAAACATCTCTGCCTCGGTCTTCAAAATATCAAGTTGCAGAATGCCAGGACAGCCACAAAGTAAAATAGAAGTTCCCCAAAGCTGAAGACTTCCTCCTCTCCCCCCTGCCCCAGAGACGGGAGAAAAAAAATCAAAGTTCTTCCAAGTCTCTAAGAGAGAGTTGATCCGAGCCTGACTGTTAGAACCCAGCAGTGAGTTATAAATAGAGTGGTGTTAGCAGGCTCTGTACCGATGCAGTATGGGACCATGTTACAGCATTTCAGCTCTGCCAAGTTTATAAACAAATAAGATGCATTGAATTACAAAACAAGGCTAGTTACTATGGCATGCCTAGGCTTATGCAGAGCCATCCATATTAAACAGACTGGCATAAAAAGAGACTGTGGGGAGTGAACTAGGTCGATAGAGTTGCCAAATGAGTTTTCTGGCCCCACAAAATGCCTCTATTTCAAACTAACTTAAGGAATCCCCAGTAACTTTGCAGGAGTTGTAGGTTATATAGATTTTCACCTTGTAACAAGGGCACTAAAAACCCTACTATCTCATAGGCTACAATACAAATCAAAGCTGCCAGACATGAGTATTCAAAGGACCAAACTAAACCACAAAACCCAACCACCCTCCTTGCTCTCTTCCTATCCCATATATCAGTTCACGATAAGCACCACTAATGTGTGGGCACATATGACCCAGTAAAGTGTCTAGTAGGCTCTTAATTATATTTGCTTCTGTGGTGTTACCGGACAGTTATTTTCCTTTGGAGACATATCCTCTAATGAGAGCTACATTGGGAAAAAACTTTTCAAGGAAGACCATTACAAAGTCACATTCCAAGAAAGATACTCAGCCTGAAGAACCAGAAGCTTTGACTCTGCAATGGCAAGTTTTATGCTCCTAGTCAAAGCATTTCCTTCAGTTTTGCTATAGCTTAAGTCATTTTAAATGTTTGTATCTAGTTTAATTGTAATTCACTCTTGTGAGCTCTAAGATAGTCCATGTATACATAGGCCAACTCCAAATTTATGGAGGTAAAAAATAAGTCCTGTCTCTGCTGTGAATGTCTCAAGGATAGGGTGAAGACAGACACCATGTCACAGACACATTTGTTAACAGTCAATCCCACACCCATATACATAACAGAAGAATCATTTCTCTTAAGAAAATTTTAGGAAGTTAGAGCCAATCATCAGAGCAGAATTTTGTACGCCAGCTAATGCCCTGCCAAGAAGAAATGGAACGAACAGGTTGAAAAAACAAAACAAAAAACACAACACACAGGCTGAAAGTTCTTTATACAAAATTAAATCCCCGATTAGCTTCTATTGTTCTTGTATTTTGCTTTTTTAAAAAGAGCAGAACAAAAATCTCTCCCACCGAAACTCATTCTAACTCCAGATCCAGTCAAGGCAGCTCAGATTTCCTTTTTTAGGACTTCTGTCTCATTGCCCCTTTTATAAGTAAGACGCAGTAAGGGCCTAAGCAAACCCTTAGTCACGAGAAGCCCCATTATCGTCAGGATCTAGTGCCAAGTTTGAAATGCTTAAAAATGTCCACATCTTCCAACTAATGTCTCTTTCAGAAGCATCAGGAAATGGCAGATATACTAACAGCTTCAACTCTACCTCCTTATACATAGAAGCACAAGCTGTACATGCTCCAGACTTCAGTTTAAAAACCCTTTAAGTTCAGGTGGGTGTTTGCGTAAGAGACAATCTCCAAGAAGAGACCCTCCTGGTACAGACTCATCCTATTTTAAAATGGCTTTGCTAACTGCAACAAATTTAAACTTCTTTCTAGTTACCAAAGCTGTAAATTCACCAACTTTATCATTTTACTTCTACACAATGTGTACATGGCCCCTAACTGGAAATAAAGAGCCAAATAGAGACCCAATTGAAGCAGGTGCAACTAGCATAGGAGCTGGATCTATTTACTCCATGGGGGAATTTTGGCCAAACTGTTAGCTCAGATTGAACAAGTTATAGTTAAGGTATTCGTACGCACACTAAAGGCAATACTGGTTTAAGAACAAACAATAAAAGGATCCTATATAAAGTTCTTCTTCTATCAAAAATTGTGATCAAATAATTAACACCAACAGAGTTCCTACTAATGGTAGGTATACAAACAGCAAAATTAAGCTAGTTCAAATTGGACCTGAACTAGAGAGAATGTACTGCATACAGCACCAGCTATAGTATTTTACATTCACTAGAAGAAAGTTAACCAGATACAGTGAAGGCATTGGGTAGGGTTTCACTTATAGTGAGTGATATTTATGTAGGAAGAAGCAAGTTTAATAGGGACCCCAAAAGCTTATGCCATCTTCAAAGGAGGATCGATTATTTCCTTAAGATTCCATCGAGAGAGGCAGGATGTCATGGGAACTACCTCTCTCCATCCCATCATGGGGCACCTATAACCTGGAGGTTCCAACTTTCCAAATTAATTTCCATCGTCTCTTTTGATGCAACCAACACCTCTTCCTTAGCGAGTGCCCCTAAGCAAGTGTGTTGGAGTTGTCTCCTGGGATCTGTAAATCCATGTTTGTTTTAAACCATCGGTAGGTATCATTAAGGGTTATAAGCATCACGTTTAGTCTCCAGAGGCTTCAGGACACACAGAGTTGTGTAATGTGAAGTTCCTTCACTCCCTGTAGTTTGTAGCTGACCAAAAGAGTTCATCAGCCCCACAGATAAAGCAATGCCCATTCCAGTTAAAACAGGAGGTAAACCTGAGATGGAAAGTTCTATACTAGGAGTCTCTTCTGTGGACACTACATATAACAACACGGGTATTTAAATGGGGAAAATTCTTCACTCCTTTAAAGAGAGTAGAGTCACACCACAATCTGATCGGTTAGGCCCAACCATGATCAAGCCACGTTTAACAAGAGTGGTTCTAGTTCAGGTAGAAGTTTGCACCTTTTATGCTCTTTCGTGGATACCGGAAAAATAGTTTTGCTGTAGTTGCCCCTGCAGGCAACATTCATTTGTGCTGTGTCAGTCCTGCTGGCTCAGAGACTCTTTCCCGCAGTAACTGAAATGCTTTCTAAGGTTTGGACTTAACATCTTGAGTCCCTCTCCTACACTCGCCAAGTCTGGGAGTTACATTTCAACCCATTTCCAGCATGGTTTGGCTGGCCAAAACTTTTTTAAAAACGTGGTTCTACCATTGGCTGGCCAAAAGGCTTAGCTGCAATGGTAAACAGTTCAAACACTGCTCCCAAACTGTGTTGAAAGGCCAGAGCTTAAGGCAAAGTGCAAAGTTCAAAAAAATATATATCAGCAACTACAGGAGACTGTGTCTTGACTTCCCAAATGGAGGGGAAAAACCCCAAACAAGACTGATGGGTAAGGGCACCTGGAACCCAGAACAGGGATAATTTTAACACTGGTTTGGTTTTCTGGAGTTAAAGAGACCCTACAAAGGGAAATTTAGGTTAAGTATTAGTAACAGATAAGGAATTTTGTTTTAAGTGGACTGCTCCTTTAAAATTTTCCTTCAGAGAAGAAAGGGTAAGGGGGAGGGAGAAGACAAAAATACAGTGGCAAAGATTTCAAAATACGATAGCAAAAATATAGCTTTTCCTGGAAGCTGGAATGAAGTTTATTCCAATGAAGGTAGTTCTGCCCCTCCCTAAGGGCGAAGAGTTTGTTACAGGGACTAAAGGTCTGTAATACCACTTACTAAGAGCCAAAGACAGGTTAACAAATTATTCTAGTTCAGAGCAATTAAAAAAAAAAATGCAAAGCTCCTCCAATTGTAGTAGCTGACATATGGTCTATACAGTAAAGCTTGTTTAATTAAAGTGCTCATGTGCTTACGGAGATGAACACAAGTGTTTTTACTATTATTTATGCAGTGCCTAAGCAAGTGCCTTGCAGCACAAATGAAAGACCTGTACCATGCCCCAAGGATCTTACAATCTAACCTCAGGCATGCCACAATGGGTCGGGGGGGAGAAAGTTGAGGCATTAAAAAAAAAAACCAGGGAAGAGGCGAGTTACAGTAATGACTGGTTACTTTATGTGCATATCTGGATTTTTAATGTGGCAAAATAAAGACCGTCCCTACCTTCTCCCAAGCTCTTATTGCTTTTCCCTCTCCCTTCTTCTAGGCCTCGTAAAAAAGGGAGTCTTTAGGGCCTTGTCTACAACAGAGGATTTTAGCAAACAATTTCCACCCAGGGTATCACTAGTTCCGGATGCAAAGGGGAGGGTTATTTTAGAAGATTCCCTCGTGTAGAGACTGCCTAAGGTCTCTCTGCAGGGAGACATGTCCACCACTAATGTTGGTGCACAGGCCTGTCGAGACAGTGGTGTTTGAAAGTTGATCTGCTTCCAAACACAAAGCCAGTCATGGATTTCAATGCTGAGGAAGTGGTGATGTTTTACTGTGTGTGCTCCAGCCAAATCCTGCACTCTCCACCTATGGTTACTTTACAAATACATATAACAATACAGGAACGTCAGACCCTTAAATAACTCCTCAAAATGACGGACTGCCTAGATTGACCAACCAAATACGTGACAAGAAAGTAAACAGAGCCTCCAAAGTTGCCATCTGAATACCTTCCCGACTGCTATCACTCACTTGCAGGCAACCTAAGACAGAAGCCATAC